TTGTTTCCCAACATATGGTCTATTCATGAGAATGTCCATGCGCGCTTGAGAAGAATGTGTAATCTGCTGTGTTTGGATGGAGTGCTCTATATGTATCTATTAGTCCATCTTGTCAGGTTTTTCGTTTAAGACCATTATTTCCTTATTGATTTTCTGTCTGGATGATCTATCTGTTGAGGAAAGTGGAGTGTTAAGATCCCCTGCTATTATTGTGTTGTTGCTAATATCTCCTTTTAGGTTTGTTAATAGTTGTTTTATGTACCTTGGTGCTCCTATGTTAGGTGCATATATATTTAAAAGTGATATGTCTTCTTGCTGGAGTGTCCCTTCTATCAATATATATTGCTTCTCTTTGTCTCTCATTACCTGTTTTATTTTGAAGTCTACTTTGTCTAATATAAGATGGCAACACCTGCTTTCTTTTGTTTGCCATTAGCTTCAAGTACTGTCTTCCATCTTTTCACTCTGAGCCTGTGTTTGTCTTTAGAGCTGAGATATGTTTCCTGGAGGCAGCATGTTGTTGGGTCTTGTTTTTTAATCCATCCCACTACTCTGTGTCTTTTGATTGGAGAGTTCAGTCTGTTTACATTTAGGGTAATTATTGATATATGGGGGTTTATTGTTGCTTTTTTATCACTCATTTTCCAGTTCTTTTGAATTTGTTTCTTGACCAGTGTGTTTTGGACTACCAATTCAGTTTGGTAGTTCTGTATGGGGGTTCTCTTAGTTTTCTCTTTCTTTATCGTGTGTGACTCTGTTCTGATTATTTGGTTAGTGGTTACCATGAGGTTTGTATAAAAAATCTCATAGATGTGATAGTCCATTTTTTGATGTCTTCTTATTCCCTTAGACTAAGTTGATTCGATCCCTTTCCTCTTCCTCTTCTAAGTTATTGTTGTCACATCTTATTCCTTCTTGTGTTGTGAGTTTGTGTTTAACGTGATGAGGTTATATTTATTTTTGGTGCTCACCTTCCCTTGATCTTTGGTTTTATAATTAAGTGTTTGCTAATCTATTTTGATAGAAAGCTGCAATTTTTCTGGTTTTGTCGACCTATTTTCCTCCTTGTTCAAAACTTTGAATCCCCTTTCTCTTTTTTTCCTTAGGCATGAGGGCCTTCTTGAGCACTTCTTGTAATGGAGGTCTTTTGGCAATGAACTCCCTTAGCTTTTGTTCTTCTGGTATAGTTATTATTTCTCCATCATATCTGAAAGATATTTTTGCTGGATAGAGTATTCTTGGCTGAAAGTTTTTGTCCTTCAGAATTTTGAATATATCATTCCACTCTCTCCTAGCCTGTAGTTTCTGTTGAGAAATCGGCTGAGAGCCTGATAGGAATTCCTTTGTACATTATTTTTTTTTGTCTAGCTGCCCGTAGTATTTTTTCTTTGTGATTGACTTTTGCCAGCTTTATTACTATATACCTGGGAGAGGGTCTTCTCATGTTGATATATTTAGGAGATCTATTTATTTCAATCACTGGTATTTCCAGCTCCTTCTCCAGGTTTGGGAAGTTCTCAGCTATTATTTCTTTGAACAAGTTCTCTGCTCCTTTTTCCCTCTCTTCTCCCTCTGGAATACATATAATCCTTATGTTGGATTTCCTAATTGAGTCAGATATTTCTCGGAGAGTTTCTTCATTTCTTTTTAAAAGAGTCTTAGTTCTCTTTCCTCCTCCATCTGGAGCATTTCTGCATTGCTGCCCTCAATATTACTTATTCTTTCCTCCATATTGTCAGCTCTGATGCTTAAGGCTTCCAGATTTGTCTTTATCTCCTCTATTGTGTTTTTCGTCTCAAAGATTTCTAATTGGTTTTTCTCTATAGTTTCAGTCTCTCTTGTGAAGAAACTCCTGATTTCATTGAATTGATTTATTTATTTTTTGTGAGGAAGATCAGCCCTGAGCTAACATCCATGCTAATCCTCCTTTTTTTGCTGAGAAAGACTGGCTCTGAGCTAACATCTATTGCCAATCCTCCTCCTTTTTTTTTCCCCCCAAAGCCCCCGTAGATAGTTGTACGTCATAGTTGCACGTCCTTCTAGTTGCTGCATGTGGGACGCGGCCTCAGCACGGCCGGAGAAGCGGTGCCTCGGTGCGCACCCGGGATCCGAACCCGGGCCGCCAGCAGCGGAGCCCGCACACTTAACCGCTAAGCCATGGGGCCAGCCCCTTATTATGGCTATTATGAATTCTCTGTCACTAAGGTTATATACATTTCTGTGCTTTCGGGGTTTATTTGTGGGTGCTTGTTATTTTCCTGTTGGTCTGGAGATTTAATATATTTTTGCATAGTGCCTGTCAGTGTTGGCTTATTTTTCCTCATAGTGAAAATATATGATTGCAGTTTCCTCTTGGCACCACTGGGTGGGGGTCAAGGGCTGTGTATTCTGTGCCTGCCTCCATCCTGCAGGCACTCTGGTCGGCCCCCAGCTGAGCTGAGGTGTGGCTGAGCTGAAGCACAGCTGATCTGAAGTGAGGCTGAGCGGAGGCTGCTGGGGGTGAAGCGTTGGAGCAGCTGGAGCTGGAACGTGGGAACAGCTGGGATTGGAGCACAGCTAGGCCAAAGCAGCTGGGGCTCCGGTGCAGGTGGGTTGAAGCAGCTGCAGCTGAAGTGCAGCTGGGCTGAAGAAGCAGGAGTTGGAGCACCGTTGGGCCAAAGAAGCTGGAACTGGAGTGCGGCTGGGCCGAAGTTACTGGTGCCAAGCCAGCTGGAGCCTGAGCATGGCCAAGCTGAAGCAGCTGGAGCAGGGGCGGGGGGGTGGTTGTCGAGCCGAAGGTGCTGGGTGCAGGGTGTGGTCGAGCTGATGCAGCTGGGGCCGTGGTGCGGTGGAGCTGGAGCAGCTGGTGCTGTGGCGTGGTGGGGCCTGAGCTGCAGCCACCTCTGGTGCAGGGCCGCAGGCACACCCTGCCACTGGTGGGGCCTGTGCACCTGGGGGCCGCTGCCTCTGGTGGGGCGTGTGGTCATGCTGCTGCTGCTGGGGGGTCTGGGGGCCTCTGCCTCTGGTGCTGGGGTGGGGGCATGCCACCGCCACTGGTGGGACCCAGGTGCCTGGGGGCCGCTGCCTCTGGGGGCGGGGCCAAGCTGAAGCACTGCTGTGCAGAAGCACCAGGTGGGCGGAAAGGGGAGGGGCACTTACTTTTGCCTCCTCGATCTCAGAGGTTTCTTGTCTCACTGTTGCTCTCTGCTCTCCTGAGGGGCTAGCTTGTTGAAAGTAGCCTCGCAACATTTCCACTCCCTCCGTAGGGGGATTCCCCATAGGCTGTGAGGGGTCTTGGAGAGCTCCGGTTTTCCCCACAGATAGCAACCCCTCTCCCCGCTCTGAGAGCCGCGTGGTCTCAGTCTCTGGGTCGCAGTCCTTGGGGAAGGAAGGGAGCTCCTCTTACCTCTTTCCACTTTGGGAATTCCAGCCCCTCAGTCCTTGGGTGTATGGCTGCCTGGGTGCCTCAGACATCCCCTGTGTGGTGTGAGTAGCTTCTGTTGGAATATGAATGTCCTTTTTGTTGTGTCTTAGAGGGGGAGAGTTCAGTAGGGAAGCTCACTCTGCCATGATGCTGACGTCACCTCCTCTCTTGCCTTTTGTGATGGTGGCCACTTTAACAAGCATGAGGTGATATCTCATTATGGTTTTGATTTGCATTTCTCTAATGACTAGTGATACAGAGCATCTTGTCATATACCTGTTAGCTTTTCATGTATCTTTTCTAGAGAAATGTCTATTCAGATCCTCTGCCTGCCCATTTTTAATTTTCTTTTTTTTTTGCTGAGTTGTACGAGTTCTTTATATATATTGGGTATTAAACCCCTTATCGGATATGTAGTTTGTAAATATTCTTTCCCATTCTGTAGGTTGTCTTTTCACTTTGTTGATGGATTCTTTTGCTGTGCAGAAGCTTTTTAGTTTGATGTGCTCCCACTTGTTTATCTTTTATTTTGCTTGTGCTTTAGATGTTGTATCCAAAAAATCATTACCAAGACGCAGGTCAAGGAGCTTTATTCCTGTTTTCTTCTAGGAGCTTTATGGTTTCAGGTCTGAAGTTCAAGTCTTTAATCCATTTCGAATTAATTTTTGTGAGTGGTGTAAGATAGGGGTCTAGTTTCATTCTCTTTTATGTGAATATCCAATTGTCCCAGCACCATTTATTGAAGAGACTTTTCTCCATTGGGTATTCTTGGCTTCCTTGTCAAATATTAGTTGACCATACATGCTTGGGTTTTTTTTCTGGGCTCTCAGTTCTGCTCCACTGGTCTGTTTGTTTTTATGCCAGTATCATACTGTTTTGATGACTAGCTTATAGCATAGCTTGAAATCAGGAAGCATCATGCCTCCTGTTTTGTTCCTCTTTCTCGGGATTGCTTTGGCTATTTTGGGTCTTTTGTGGTTCCATATAAATTTTAGGAGTGTTTTTTTCTATTTCTGTGCAAAATGCCACTGGCATCTGGATAGGGATTGCATTCAATGTATACATGGCCTTTGGTAGTTTTGAAATTTTAATAATATTAGTTCTTCCAATCCATGAACACTGGATACCTTTCCATTTATTTGTGTCTTCAATTTCTTTCGTCAGTCTTGTAGTTTTTAGGGTCAAGATCTTTCACCTGCTTAGTTAAATTTATTCCTAAGTATTTTATTGTTTTTGATACTATTATAAATGGGATCGATTTATTTTCTCAGAAAATTTGTTGTCAGTGTATAGAAATGCTACTGATTTTTACATGTTCATGTTGTATGCTGCAACTTTACAGAACTCATTGATTAAATCTAATGATGTTTTGGTTGAGTCTTTAGGATTTTCTATATATGTCATCTGCAAATAGAGACAGTTTTACTTCTTCCTTCCAATTCTGATACCTTTTATTTATTTTTCTTCCCTGATTGGTAAGCTAAGTTTTTAAATGGTAAGTAAATTAGAATTGTAGTGACGAGACTGGCGTTGCCTTCTCAGCATTCTTCATGCTTATGATTCAAGTATCAAAATTGTCTCATTTTATATTTTACAGAAGATCATCTAAGAAATATGGGACCAGTAGATGCTCAAGTATATCTTGAAGAAATGTCTTGGAATGAAGGTTGGAATTTTTTTTTCTCTTGACTATAGTGAAGAAAAACATCAGCAATTTTCTATAGGAAAAAAAACCCACATAGGATATTTGGAAATCTTAAGAAGAAATAATAGCTTGGCTCACTATATACATGTGGGTGTTTTTGTTTGGAATATTTTTGTTTCATTCTAAACTTCAGTTGTTGATGTTCCCACACATGACTCATTTCCAGTTATTGGTCTATTCTAATTAGATGTTAGGTACATAAGGTTTTCTTTTTTAAACTACTTTGGTTTACTCTTCATCTGTGTAATATGGGAAATAAAGTCAAAGATCATTTTTTCCATCTTTCCTGTGTTGACATTTGAGATGAATTCCTATTAGGACATCTGTTTCTTTCTGTGGTATCATAAACTGTCAGGGCAGGGCTTTTCAGGTCATATTCTTCTACCTGGAACCTGAGTTTTACCCTCACTTTGATTACATCTTAGGAGGAAGAGAAAAATCTGTCACTCTCTTTACCCTCCATGACATCATGTTTTTTTCCTTTTCCTGTTACTAGAATTTTAAAACCTAAGTCTAATTTCTCCATTTTTCTGATATTCTGTGAATTGCTCTGGTTAGACATTAAGTGGGGAAAATGCCTTTTACTAAATGGAAGCCATCAGTACCACACTTGTATGTTTCTCTGGGCAAATGAAGAGAACCTTACTATTTCCTAGAATTTTTATATACTTTTAACCCTATAACTTTACTGTTCAGCCTGGGGTACAGATTCCCTAAAAATTTACTGAGTGTGGATAGGCAAGAGGATAAACAGCCCATCCTTCCTGAAACCAAGTTTACTGGAATATTTTTTAATGGCAAATTCTTAGTGCTCTTAGGAAGTTGGGTCACAAGCTATATTGACATAGAAGGGGAATCACGTTTTTGCCTATGGGCTACTCTGCTCCTAAACCGCCAAATGAAATCCTAGAATAGAAATTCTTATTTGCAGTGAGTGATTGGGAAACCTGGGGTTTTGTGTAACTGGGGCTCTCTGTGGCGGTGATAGCTTCATCAGAGTAAGCGGAGAGCCACTGCTGTAGAAGTAGGACACACTAGTGACATGGGTTGTCACTGCTGGTGCGTGAGAGGGATAGACTAGAACCTGCCCAGCAAAATATGTTATTTGAAAATATAGTATTGCTACCTTATCAATCAGTGTATGTGTACTGTTTGATCTCTTATTAGACAAATTAGTTCTTCTTGCTGTGGTTGATATGACTAATATATTTTGTTTCCTACTGATTCCTGATAATGTGAAAATAGTGAAAACCGGTTTTTGTAATTTTTCCGTCTTCAGTAACCCTTTAAAAATATAATTAATATAAGATTTTATTTTAAATTAATAATATGGATTGGTGGTTCAAGCACCTGTTCAGTCAACAAATATATGAGCTTTCTGAGACAAGTGAAAATACCAAGATATTGAAGCAAATGTACAACATAAAATCGTCAAGAGTTATCAAACGTGTTAGTGTCCTTTAGACTCTTTAGACATATCAGCTTCCTAATCCAAGGACAGTATGAAGTGATGCATTTAATTATGCTTAATGGGCATCCCTGAAGAGCTGCTCAGACTGACGTGAACCTTTCCTCTTCTGGGTAGTCGTCATGCAACCTGGTCATTTCATGTGTCTTCACTCGGTATATTTTAAATGATTTCTTTATTAAGTGATGGTAGAATACTATAAGAAATATAACAAGGTGTGAGTTTTTAGTGAGCATTAACATTTGGAATCATCTATGACAAAACTGTGCCCTCTGCATCATTTACCAAGCACGTCACCTCAGATTGTCTCTCACTGTTCAATGAGGTGGTAAAAAAACGAGGGAGATTTAACTTAAGAAAACCATTGCTTAGAATATGTACATTTTTAGGCAATTTAATAATAAAACAATTCACTTTGAAAGCATGCTCCACTACATATATATGTTGGCTCAGGGAAGATGCTAACATTTTTAAATTTAAGTTTAAATTATTTTTCTTTATGGAGAAAAAAGGCATTGTGGTGAAAAATAAACACCAGGATTGGGCAAATGAATTCATGTTTTCCTTACTGATAAAAAAAAAGAAAGAAACTCTTAAAGTTGGCTTATTTAATTGGTGATTTTTCCTAGGCTGAACTTATTAGAGAACAAATACAAAGCAATTGAATTTTGCTTTTCTTCCTTCTCTTCCCTCTCTCCCTTTCTTCCTTTCTTCTTTTACTGGCATATGATGAGATCTCTCCCTTTCTTCCTTTCTTCTTTTACTGGCATATGATGAGATCTAAGTGCTAAGAAATGAAGTTTGAGCATTGAAGGAAGATATTTGATGGCAGGAATTCAAGTCTCCTAAGGCTTAGTTCATTTATCCCTAATAAAAAATTATGACAGTAGTAAAATAATGTGATCAGTCATGATTTTTCTTTGACAGTCACTTCTCAGTGACAGTAAACTGGAATGACCAGTGGATCAGAGATTCTGTCAAAGGACACAAGCATTTCAACTTCCCAGGAAGAAGATACACTGAATAAAATCCGCACCAGCAGGCTGAACGTCGCACCACTTTGCCCCCTTCAGGCATCTCACTTCACCGATTGTTCTCTTGTTCACAGATCAAACCAAACAAACAGGTACACACACATATCCCACAGAAAAAAACACCGTAGTGTGTGTTTACATATTTGGGTCAGGATTCTTGAAGCAGTGTGATACCAGATCAGACAGTATTCAGATGCTGAAGTTGATAATAAACAATCAAGTTAGTCGAGTTTTCTCTAGAAGAATGTGTTCAGGCAAAAGTGTGCTCCTTAACAGTAAGACAGGTAGGGCTCTTTTCCTTTTTCCTTCACTGTAATATTTTAGACAAACACATTGTTGAGAATAATGTAAAATTTATATGAAAATTAACAAGACTTCGAATGAATTTCATGGGTTGCTTCTGAGCATCTGCTCTCCCCCAGGATCTTTGGACTGTTGATTCATAGCTTCAATCCATCTCTTCTACAGATCAAGATTCTTTGGTAGATAATTTTTAGAAACATTGCCCCTATACAAGAAATTTTTTCAGGTTCTTATTTGAATACATTTTATATTTGCTGAGCTTCTTTCTTTTGTTTTGCAATTTCTTTGGAATACACTGACTTTTTAAAAAACGGTGTTAAAGTAATTACTTGTAAGCATTTGAAGCATTATTTTGTTTTCTTTGCAGATGATCACTCTTTTTCTCTGAGTTGCCGATGTGGTGGAAAATACCGTGTTTCCAAGGACGAAGCAGAAGAAGTTACCCTGATTTCTTGTGATACATGTTCACTAATTATAGAACTCCTTCATTATAGCTGAAATTGTTCACTAAATGGAAGCCTTTAACTGTATATTCAGACACATAGAGGAGAGTTCATTCCAACTTTGTCCTTTCAAGCAAATGTATAAAGCTGAAAAAAAAGAGGTAGGATTCTTTTTTTGTCAGCTCTGTTATTTGCAGAGAAAATAGAAGGTGGTCGAGCAAAGGCCACCCCAGACTAATAGAAAACTAATTTAGTTATTTATATGTATTTATGTTTACAGATCACCAAATAAGGGGACTTGAATTATAAATTATATTTAGTGAATTCCCATCTGAGAGCTTTATTATTGGTTCATTTTCTCCTTGGTACAAAATAAGAATTTTCCTTTTCTTCATGCACTCTATGATGTTCGCACAACGATGAGATCACTTAACGACACATTTCTCAGAACACATCCCCTCGTTTAAGTGATGCACGACTGTAGTTACTAAGTTTCTAAAGTAACATGATATTTCTAGCTGCTAAAGTTATAGGCCTATTGTACAACTATCTCTGATTCTCAGGTCATTAGAATTAAATTAGAATCTTTGTGAATAACATGTGAGCCTAGTTCTCCATAATGAAGGTTGGATAAATTCATGAAATTATTTCAGAGTGAATAAAGAAGGTGAAGTGGCAGATAGCTTTGGAGTCAGAAGACTTGACTTGACTCCAATCCAGATTCTTATTTCCAGATTCTTCATGTGGCTATATAAGTAAGCTCTCGAACACTGCCATTTTGAACTTTAAATGTAATTTAGGAAATGCGCACCACTCATCAAGCCATGCTGTGATGGCATCCCACATATAAAGTAGAGAAGGATTGGCAGCAGATGTTAGCTCAGGGCTAATCTTCCTCTCCAAAAAAAAAAAAAAAGGTGCATTACTTTCTGTTTCTGATGTTTAAAATACAGTATTAAATGCCTATATTTATGAATAAGGAACCACTGCATTGCTGATAAGATGAAATTGACTATTATTGATCATAGTAGACTGTAAAGATTTTATTTTTCTATATTCTTAACATTATGTACAGTGTAAGTCAGAACTCATTTAAACAACTTGCAGGAATCCTTTCCTTTATGGGTCACTGAAACTTTCTTGATTTCGAGTGAGTGAGCCGTGCATTCGACTCAGCAGCTTTTATGAGGTTGAACTCTTGGTGTTTGTTACTGGACTTATACATAAGGCAGGGTACTGCTCTGACTTGCAAATGTAGCTAAAATATGAGGCATATTCAAGAGGAGTAATAATTATACCTACAAAACAAAAAATTCAAAAGTGAGGCGGTCATCCAGGTTTCCCCCCCCTAAAAATATTTTTATATCATAAAATTTAGATGACTTATTTTGGATTACATTTTTATTCATGTATTTTGAACTAATATAGCTTGCAGAGTGTGTGTTGCTTATTGTTTACATTTAACAATTAAAAGTAAAACTGGGGGCTGGCCAGGTGGTGTAGTGGTTAAGGTTTTCGTGCTCTGCTTCGGTGGCCCAGGGTTTGCAGGTTCGAATCCTGGGCGTGGACCTATGCACTGCTCATCAAGCCGTGCTGTGGCAGCGTCCCACGTACAAAAATAGAGGAATATTGGCACAGGTGTTAGCTCAGGGTGAATCTCCCTCACCAAAAATAAATAATAATAAAACTAACTAAAACTGAATAGCAAATAGTTTATTAGTAAATACATGGTTTCAGTGGCAATAATAAATTCACTTGAGCAGGAGACAATAATCAAATCAAAAGAATAAATGCTTGCTAATCATCAGAAAATCTGTGGCCATTAGGGCTGTCACGTAGAAATCCAAAATCACTCAGAGGCCAAATCTGTGAAATCAAATGGGATTGAAGACAATTAATGAAAGTGATGTTATAGCATTGTTGAATTCCCTTTGTTTCATTCATCCCTTTTCTCTATGCCAGATAATTAAACACGTTCTCCTTATTCTTCAGTCAAGAACACATTTTCTACAGGAAAATAAGACTTTAGAAAGTAAACGTGTGTGTACATATTTAAACTCAAACATTATACAAGAAACTATATGTGTGTGGCATGTGTATATATGTGTGAATGTGTGTCTTCTTTTACTAAAACCTTCCAATCTAAGTACCTGAATATAACATCTGCTCAAGTGTAAAGAATCTTGTAAATTATCCAACTGCCCCAAGTACTCGGGTCTGTTTCTCTCCTTACTACTTGTGACAAAAAGGAGGAGCCAGTGAAAACAACGCTCCTTCCTCCGAATGGTACTGACTACAGCCATGATCCTCGCTGTCTCCCTCACTGCACTGGACAGGCGGTCTCACGCTAGAGGCTCTTCTGCAAATGCATAGGAATATGGTTGTAAAAGTGGTATGAGAATAAATTTTTGGAAGTTCAAATTAAAGGCTTCTTATGCTACAACTAAGGTAGTCTGAACTTGATTATCAGACAATAAATTATTCTCAATTACCCATCTCAGTGGGGAGGGGGTGATGTTTACAGCTGTGAAGGCCAACATGTTATAAGATGCAGTCACTGCAACAGCCACGTTCACTGACAGCCAGAAGATTTCAAAGTTCATTTTGAAAGACACTTTTTTTTTTCCAGCTCAGAAAAGAAAGCCTACATTTTCATCAGAAAACAGTACCTTAAAGAAGATACGTCCTTTTATTAGTCCATATGGAATAGGTCCATAGTACCTAGAATCTGTAGAATTCTGTAGATTATCACCTTCTAACCAAACATGACCTGTTGGCACCTAGAATTAGAGAAGAAAAGCAGCCCTTTAAAAAAGAAAAAGACAATTTGGGTACAATCTTTTTTGCCACATGGTTCCCAAACATTAATTTGTTACACAAACTCCGAACTGAGATTATAAGAGATCAAAACAGTATGACAGGGTCATTAATTTAATAGACTTCAACAGAGGTCATTAGGATGCTGACTGAAAATGTGCCCTCCTGTCTCAGGAACAGCATAAGCAGGGCAGCCACTGCTCAGCAACATCCTGGGGCCAATACCAAGGCCAGACCTATTAGAATGCTCATGATGAACTAAATGGTAATTGATTGTGACATCAATTACAAATAATCTCATCATTTTATTGGAGTGGGCCTGTCAGAATTCTAATTAAGACCCTTGTTCTGCTTTTGTACAGGCCGTATCTTCAATGCATTATACTTCAATAATGACCATCAAGAACCAGAAAGACCTATTATGAAATCATCAGTTGTAAAATTAATGATGGTGACCTTCTACTAAATGAAAAGACCTTAACTCCTCTATGTCCTATATATTAATTGGTAAATAAGAGTTTAAATTTTTACTCAATGACAATCACAAGCATGTTTAGAACAGAACACATTACTTAAAAAATAATGCCTTCTGTGATATGAGACATTTGCCCATTAATATCTGTCCCATATAAACTTCAAAAATTACTCTCCAGCAACAATCTTTAAAATTGCATTTTGAAAGTTTTTATTTTACAGTTTTTGTTACCCAAGAAAGTTGAATTATTGACCAGACCAAAATGACCTATTGGGAAGGAATTAATTTTCACTGTTCTTTTGACTAGCAATTGGAAACCTTATGTGAAGGAAAATATTCCTAAAGGGTTTAATAAGAAATGATTGCATTTGTTTTCAAATGTCACAAATTACTTTTCTTCAAAAGAAAGACCATTTTTTAGAGCAGTTTTAGGTTCACAGCACAATTGGAGAGGGAGGTACAGAGCTTTCCCATATACCTCCTGCCCCCCATAGGCACAGCCTCCCCCATTATTGACATCCCCCACCAGATGGCACATCTGTTACCAAGGATGAACCTACATTGATGTCATAATCACCCAGAGTCCACAGTTTACCTCAGGGTTAACTCTTGGTGCTGTACATTCTATGGGTGTGGACAAACGTATGATGCCATGTCTCCACCCTTCTAGTATCACAGAGAGGCTTTTCAGTGCCCTAGAAATGCTCTGTGCTCTGCCTATTCATTCTACCCACCCCTGCCCCACATTACCTTTTGGAAAAACAAATTTATACAAGCATGTAAAATTTGAATCTTACTTTACATCAGAGATTATATAATTTTGGAATGTCTTATATCATGTAGAATATTTGCCAAGAATGAATAAAGTTAATTATTTTCATTTAGATACACTTAAATGTTAAATCTGCCTATTTGTAGAGAAAGGACAAAAGTTTCCTGAAAGACTATCAGATAAGATCACTCACTTTTATTAGGGGAACTAGTTATAGGTTCTAGGGCCAACAGCAAGTCTAGTTCCTACTTATATAATAAGTGGATTTGTGTGCAGTGAAGCCTAAGTGCTCAAGTAGAGAAATGAATAAACAGTATTTGGAAAAGCCATGTTATTAGCATATCCTGAAGTACTGCCTTGGGAGAAGCTATAATGTCAACATCTTTCATGTTTAAATTTCCATAGTTTCTCCTTAATATGAGTTTGAGTTCTAAAAATAGATAATATATATGAATAGTTACATAAAATCATCAAGATAGAGACACCAGTAAAAGCAGAGAAAAAATTCTAAAAACCAATAAGGCAGCATACTTAGAATCAAGGAAGGTCTTTCTCTGCCCATCTCATGGCCACAAACCAGCATCCAGTGTCCACTCCATTTCTCCACGAAGCTCTCCCCAGCCCTGCCTGCCTGCACCAAATCCTCTCGACTGTTTACAGCACCTGCCATGTTCAAGTTGGCCTTGTCTGGGGCCCTGGATTATAACATCGTATCACCTGCTTGGCTTCTGTGTAAGTCTTACCTATTTTATGACAGAATAAGCCAACAGAGTAATCATGTCATGATCTTAATTCTTTATAAACCAAAGTAAGCAGAAATTCTTGAAAAGTGCAATCACTTGTGTGTCAGTTATGACTGAAGTTTCTTCCAAATTAGCTAAATGCAGTGATGAAGTATTTTATCTCTGGTATAATAAAATTAACAAGTACAGAAAGGAGTCTGCTTAGAGAACGCCAAACACATCCCTGAAGACTTTGGAGGGTGTGACCTGGGCTGTTTACTCCTGGTCCCTGATTGCAGGGGTGGAGCAAAGGGAGGAAGAGGAAGAGTGACACAAACCAGTGTGTATATAGGACCTTCTGGTTTAAGGAAAAAAACCCTCATTTGATCCTTACGACAACCTGTGAAGTCTGTCAGTGATATTTCCTAGAAGCAGCAGCAGCAGGTGCAGATAGGGGACATACCACTTCCTCACCTGGAGCCCACACTTGGGAATAACCCCTGTGCCGGCACAGGCACCAAAGAACCTCTGCATCTCAGACTTCGTGCTTGATATAAAGGACGCAAATCGAGGACACAACTGACCACTGAGGGTACCTCTGATCTAGTAAGAGCTTCTCTACGAAGAAGAAAACCTCTACGTTTAGTGGGTCTTTTAAAATCAAAGCAGCACCTTTGCTGACCTACCTTTCTGTCAATTACTCAGTTGCCCAGTAAAAAATTCATGTTTGAAATCATTCCACTTTTGAAACATCATTATTTTTGGTATGGGGTAAGGGTGGACATTCAGAGATCAATTTCATAGAGGTGTACTTTATATCCAGGGTGGCGCACTTAAGTTCTGACACTGGTTCGAACAACGTGCACACCTACGTAACCACCAACCACAATCCCGATGTAGACTTTCTTTTGTGCAAAACAGTTCCCACCTCTTCTAGTCAACCTCCCACCCCTGGACCTGGTCCCAGGCAATCAGTGATCTGTTTTCTTTTACTAGTGACTAGTTTTACCTGTTTCTCAATTTCTATTTTTTTTTTTTGTGAGGAAGATCAGCCCTGAGCTAACATCCATGCTAATTTTTGCTGAGGAAGACCGGCCCTGAGCTAACATCTATTGCCAATCCTCCTCCTTTTTTCCCCCCAAAGCCCCAGTAGATAGTTGTATGTCATAGCTGCACATCCTTCTAGTTGCTGTACGTGGGACGCGGCCTCAGCATGGCCGGAGAAGTGATGTGTTGGTGTGCGCCCGGGATCCGAACCCGGGCTGCCAGTAGTGGAGTGCGCGCACTTAACTGCTAAGCCACGGGGCCGGCCCTCCTCAATTTCATATAAATGAGATTGCACAGTATATACTTTCTATATCTGGCGTTTGTTCAGCAATTTCTTATGATTAATCCATGCTGTAAGTATCAGTCATTCATTCCCTTTACTGCTTAGTATTCCACTGTAAATCACAATGTTTATCCACGAACCTGTTGATGGCTACTTGAGTTGTCTGCAGTTTTGGGCTGTTACAAATAAAGCACTATGAACATTCATGTATAAGTCTTATTTCTTTTCAGTAAATACCTGGGAGTAGAATTTCTGGGTCATATGTGAATGCTTAACCTTAAACTTTCCCAAAGTGGCGATACCATTTACACTCCCAACAGCAACATGCGAGTGCTCCACAATCTTGGTATTTTCAGTTTTTCCAGTTTTTGCCATCCTAGGCGGCTACTGGTATCACACTGTGGTTCTTATTTGCATTTCTCTGATGAGCATTTTTTCTTGTGTCTGTTAGTGTATCTTTTGTGAAATGTCTATTAAAATATTTTGTCCATTTTAAAAATGGGTTGTTTTTCTTATTACTCATTTTCAGAGTCCTTCATATACCTTGAGTATAAGTCCTTTGACAAATATTTCCTCCCAGTCTGGGATCTTTTCTTTTGCAGTTTACAATCTACTGTAAAGACCAGACAATGTATTTTTGAAATTTCACTTGGTTCTTTTTTGTATTTACCATTTCTTTCTCATTATGTTCATCCTCTAAATCATTGAAAAATATTTAGAATTGGTATTTTAGAGCACATGCCTGTGAATCCCATTCTCATTTCTGGATCTATGTAACTAATTTTCCTCTGGTTATGGGTTACGTTTTCCTATCTCTTCACGTATCCAATGGTTTGAGCTGGGCATTCCTTTGTCTCTTTTTAGAGAGTGTGGAAGCAGTTAGGTTAGCTGTGGACCAGCTCATTCCTTTCTAGCCTTGTCTTGAAGCTCGTTAGGTGGGGTCTATCTCACACTACACCTATGGGCTTCTTTAGCCATTGATATCCCGGGGTTTCTGCTGAATGTTCCAGGTAGTCATGAGATCTGTCCACGCGGCACGTCGCAGCCACGTGTGAGCTCGGGAACTCTCGGCCCTCACTACTTCTCTGCTGGGGGTCTTCCCAGGCACAATTGAGCATTAGCCTAAGGGCCAAGAGAATACCCATGTCGATTTCTGGAGGCCCTTCTGCAGCTCTGTCCTCCCTGGTGGTTTGACCCATAAATTCCAACACTTAACTAACCTCCACCCTAGTCTCTGTCTCCTCAACTCAGCAAGACCACCGTGCTTTGAACTGTCCCTCCTGTACCTTCTGCCTTAGGCAGAAGCCGGGGTGAGTGTAGGGCTTGTCTTGGTTCCCTTCTGGGGGATCTGTCTTGAAACGCCTGCTGTGCCATGTCTGAAAACAGTTGTTGCACATACTTTGTCCAATTTTCTAGTTCTTCATGGCAGGAGGGCAAGTTCAGCACTAGTTACTCCCTCATTGCCAAAAGCAGATGTGCAAATTATCTCATTTTTTGAAGACTATTATTTTTTGATCACCCTTCATAACTCTAGGAAGAGAAGAATCCTTCTGGTGAGAACTGCAAGTTTTGATGAAGGTCAAGTGTGCCTTGGGCACTCCCACCATCGTCCCCTTCAGTGGCATCCCCTGTGGGTTTTCCTTTTACCCTTTCCCTATCAAAAC